CTGATATCACTTATATGTGGATCTAAATTTTTAAAAGCCCACTAAGCTCATATATGCAGTGAACAGATTGGTGGTTCCCAGAGGTGGGGTTTGGTGGGGTGGGCAAAATGAGTGAAGGTGGTCACAAGCTACAAACTTCCAAATAAGTCTTGGGGATCTAATGGACTATGTGGTGATTATAGTTAATAATACTGTGTTGTATATTTGAAAGTTGCTAAGAGAGTAGATCTTAAAAGTTATCACAAGAAAAAAAAATTGAAACTATGTGAGGTGATCGATGTTGACTAAACTTATTGTAGTGATCATTTCACGGTATATACATGTATTAAATCCTTATGTTGTACACCTAAAACTAATACAAGGTTCTATGTCAGTTTTATCTCAGTGAAAAATATATTTTAAAAAAGTCAAAATGGGGGCAGGATTAGACTGTTAAAATGTTAACTGTTGAACTAATCGGGGTTGAGGTTGATTATATGATGATCTCTATTTTTATGTATGTTTACATTTTTTTCACACAAAACGATGTTACGGAAAAAATTATTTAGCTGTCTCCAGCCTGGATTGGTGTAAGTTACTTACTGGTAATACAGTAAAAGTCAGTTCAACGTTAAGTAATGTTTGTTGGCGGGGGGGGGGGAAGCCCTCATTGTGTAATTCCATTAACACGTAACATATAGTATCCCATGTTTGTGAGTAATAAAAAAAAAATTCACTATAGTGAGAAATGGTTTAAAGTTTTAGGTTCTGTCTCTTGAGATGATCAATTTTTAACTGGATTGCTAAGTTTTAAACCATAAGCTGATAAAGTTGGGTGATAGATATATTTTCCGGAATACGTAAGAAGTCTTTTGAAATATCTTATTTTCTAAAGCAACCTTAGTAGACAGCAAAGCTGGCTCCACATATGTGGGGAAGCACACAGCTTATGTGTGCATCTGGCAGAACCCCCAGTACAGAGAAGAGCAGGTACTATTTTCCAATGACACCTACTTGTGCGTGTCCCAATACTATAGTTAGAATATGGCTCAGATTTTTAGTTGCTTTCCCAGAACTCAAAGATCGTCTTCCTGTTTATCTTGGTGGGATGCCTATGTTATACTTGTGATTTTTCTGTTCTCTGTAACATATTAAAACAAGATCGTCACAGATGGGGAAACAAGAGGTCATTAGTTAACAATCAGATGTTTATTTCCTGAACAGCAAAGAGACTCTCTTGTGAATTTTTAACATATTTTTCAAGGAGAAATGGGTCTAGTCCCTTGAAGGTAGGTTGTTCCTTGGGCTTTCCTCAAGAGTCAACACAGTCATTTGTAAATTCATTTCCTCACTTAACTCTGTCCTGTGCATTGACTCTCAGCATTGCCTCAATCTTAGTAAGTCTCTTGTCAGTTTGTAGTGGTTACTGCTTTATAGTTTACATAAACATTGCCAGAAGAGCAAAGGGAAGCCAGATAGGTGGTGGGTTAGCTTTGGGCCAAGCCAGTGTGCTATGGAGATGACAGCACTTTTAATTCATCCTTTGGTTTCTAGAACAGTTGATCTGGATTAGATTGGGGGCAGGAAAAAACTCGTAATAATTCCTGGCTTTGGGAGACACAAGCCTTTGTTCTCCCCCAGAGTATTAGGTAACACTCCTAATGCTACTAATCATATAATCCTGAGAATTGGGAGGGACACTCATTCATTGCCTTACTCTTGTTTCACCCTCTGTAAATGAGCATAATAATAGTACCCACCTCACAGTGTTTTCATGAGGATTAAATGAGTATTTGTAAAATGCTTAGGACAGAGACTGACATAATACAAGCACCATATAAGTGTGTATAAGGTTAAGTTCCTTCATGCCAACGTAAATCTTCTCTATAACATCTGAGTAAGTGGTCACTGCTACAGTGCTGGTAGAGTTCCAGAATCTCGTTGGTGAACTTCTCATTGGCTGTTGCATTGCCAGCAGATGGTTTGGTGAAACCTCACTAACTTGGAAATAGTTCACAGATTATTGAGCCTGAATAAGTGAAAAATCAGAAATTGCAGATCTTTGGAAATATCTGAAATAATATTTTATATTTGACCGCTCTGTTCATGAAAATTTTGCCAGTGTCATATTTGATTAAGTATTTTCAAGGTATACATGTTCAGTTTGTGATTTTGTGTACTTGGTTGGTACAAAAGGGAAGCTAATGAAGGTTTGTTTTTTTTTAAAGATTTTATTTGGGGTGTTGGGTGGCTCAGATGGTTAGGCATCTGCCTTCAGCTCAGGTCATGTTCCCGGGGTCCTGGGATCAAGCCCCACATCGGGCTCCCTGCTTGGCGGGGAGCCTGCTTCTCCCTCTCCCTCTACTGTTCCCCTGGTTTGTGCTCTCTTACTCTCTGTCAAAATAAATAAATAAAATCTTTAAAAAAAAAGATTTTATTTATTTGGGGCGCCTGGGTGGCTCAGTCATTAAATGTCTGCCTTTAGCTCAGGTCATGATCCCAGGGTCCTGGGATTGAGCCCCACATCGGGCTCTCTGCTCAGCGGGAAGACCGCTTCTCCCTCTCACACTCCCCCTGCTTGTGTTCCCTCTCTCACTGTCTCTCTAATAAATAAATAAAATTTAAAAAAATTGTTTTTATTTATTTGTCAAAGAGAGAGAGCACAAGCAGGGAGAGAGGCAGGCAGAGGGAGAAGCAGGCTCCCCTATGATGAGAGAGCCCCACATAGGGCTTGATCCCAGGACCCTGGGATCATGACCTGAGCTGAAGGTGGACGCTTAACCGATTGAGCCACCTAGGCATCCTGCTAATGAAGGTTTTGATATGAGCATCTGTTCTTTTAACTAGACATCAATGAAAAGAGCATACAGAGATGTAAGTACACTTGTTTGCACACCATAGACCTAAATAGTAATTTTTAACAAAATTGTTGGACTACTTTTAGTACCTACAAATAACTAAATTTAGAAGAATCAAATGTTTGTGGAATGAGTGTTCTCCAGTAAAGTTCCTGCCCTTGAGAATAGTTAAGAATCACTTATAATTACTCTAGCAAAAGGAGGACTACAAAGTAATTGATTTTACTTGTATTGGAATTATAATTCATATAATTTATGTATATCAAAAATGTTTTAAAAGTTTGCTTTTTTAAGCCATTGAATAGCTTCTTTACCTTTTTAAGAATTTCTTAACTAATTTGCCTGGAATCTTGCTTAGTGCAAAAGGCAGACCTAGCAATTCCTTTCTCTTTGTTCCCATCCCATTCTATCCATCCCTCTCTTATGAAACTTAGTCCAAATTCTAGGTTGTCATTATCTGTTTACATGTCTGCCCCCTGCACTGGACTATATACTTGCCCTGTGTACATACTAAAACTAGTTCATTTGTGTGTCAAACACAGTGTGGCATGTAGCATGCTTCTAATGCATTTGTTGAAAAGCCTAATTAGCAGTATCTGAAACAGTATTTTACTGTATTTAATAAAGCTCTGGGAAAGTTGGATACACAACTGAGATTGATCCAGGTCTTGATTCTTTCCAGAAAGTTGGGACTTTTAGTTTGGTTTGGAATTTGAAACTGTGACTATAACATTTACCTCAGTTCCCCAAAGTCCAAGCTAATTGGAATTACTGTCCTCTTTCACCAGACTGGATCCCCAGGATACTGGTTATTTATATAGAAGAGTTGAGTGACACTTGTAAGTTCTGTATAATTGATGGAGAGCTGTGATTTTTTTTATTCAGGCCAGTTTAAAAATTCTACAAAGTGGCTCATAATTATTCCTTATAGTCTTCTGCCTTTGACCTACACCTTTCAACTCTGTGTTAGTTTGAAAGGCTATCATCTCAAGGACTGATGTTACTTTCAATCTATTCGGATGATATGCAAGCCTCGCACAGCATTTTCCACATCAGCAGGTGTTCAATAAAAACTGTGAAAATCTAAATTGCAGCTCTTTTTATTCTTAAATGGCAAGTGGAAAGAAATCTTCGGCTTATTTCTGAAAAAGTTTTTATGTTCTACAAAACAAAAATTGTATTCATCGGCGTAGCACAGATTCTAATCCGAGATTTTTAATTTAAAAAAGTCGTTAATGAAGTAGTGCTCGTTGACCGCCAAAATCCCATTCTCAGGAGTAATTCCATCAGTTTGAATTTAAATGCCCGAATGAGGATACTGGAATGGCACTGATTAACTTGAATTTGGTGGCCAAAAATTTCTTCAGAGGGTTTGACACTCGGCAGGATTGCATAAGGCTTAGAAAGGATTTTTTAAAAGACAAAGTAAAATTTCAGTACCTGTAAATCTGGCTCGAACGGGGCATAGGGGCTTAGATGAGTGCTGCAGCAATACTTACTTTTTGTTTTTAACCACTTCAGGCCTCGAAATAGAGGCTGTGTTGGTGTAATGGAAAAAGCAGCCTTGGAATCTGACAGAGCCTAATTCCTGGATTCAGTCCCAGTCCTGCGTGACCTTGGGCAAGTTACTTTACTTCTCTGAATTTCCGTTTCCTCCTATGCAAGACCAGGACTGCGAGAGCCACCTTGCAGCGTAGGCTGCGGCGCGCCCAGACCACACCGGGTGGGCCCTAAACAGATAGCAGCCATATTCCGGGCCCCCGCTCCGCGCAGCTCTCGCGGCCGCGCTCTCCCCAGCAGGTGTAGGCACCGTCCGCCGCGCAGGACCGGGCTGCGGCCGGGCGGCCCCGCCCTTCCGTTCTCGCGGGCCTGCCCCTCGGCGTCCCCGCGCGGGCCGCGGCGGGAGGTGGCAGCGTGCCGGCCTCCGCGTCCCGGGACCGCCCCGGGCGGAGCCCGCAGAGGGGCGGGGGGGCAGGGCGCCGGGACCGGGCTCCCAGGCCCAGGCCGGCCGAGTGCGGGCGAGCGGAGGCGGCTCCGGCACCGCCCGCGCCCGAGCGCGTGTGCGCGGCCGCCGCCCCCTCGGCCCTCCCCTCGGCCCTCCCCCCGGCCCCCTCCGCCCTCGCGCGCCGCCCGCCCGGGTCGCGGCGGGGCCGTGGTGTACGTGCAGAGCGCGCAGAGCGAGTGGCGCCCGCACGCCCTGCGCTCCTCCACAGGCCGGGCCGGGCAGCCCCGGACGTAGAGGCGGCGGCGGCGGCGGCCGAGGCGGCGGGTCTCGCGCGCCGGGGCCCGCGTGCCCGAGCGGAGGTCGCCGTCCGCCGCGCAGGCCGCGGTCCCTCAGCTCGCGGCAGCGATGAGGCGCTGAGGCGGCCGCCGGCGCTGCGCGGCCGGACCCGAGGACGAGGAAGCGGCCGGGCCGAGGGCGCCGGGCGCCGGCCTCCCTCAGGCGGGGAGTGGCGGGTGCATGGCGCAGTGACGGCCTCTGTCGCTCCTCCCGCTCCCCGGCCCCGGGCGAGGCCCTCCGGCCGCCACCCCTCCTGCTCGGCTGCCGCCTCCAGCGCCGCCGCCGCCGCCGCCATGGCTAATGACAGCGGCGGGCCCGGCGGGCCGAGCCCGAGCGAGCGAGACCGGCAGTACTGCGAGCTGTGCGGGAAGATGGAGAACCTGCTGCGCTGCAGCCGCTGCCGCAGCTCCTTCTACTGCAGCAAGGAGCACCAGCGCCAGGACTGGAAGAAGCACAAGCTAGTGTGCCAGGGCGGCGAGGGCGCCCCCGGCCACGGAGCGGGCCAGCACCGGCACCCCGGCCCCGCGCCGGCCGCCTCCGCGCCGCCGCCCAAGGCCGGCGGGGCCGGGGCCAGGGAGGCCAGGAAGGCAGCGCCGCGCCGGGACAGCGCCGCCGCCGCCGCCGCCGAGAATGCGGGCCCGCGGGCTGCCGGGGACGCGGCCAAGGCAAAGGCCAAGCCCGCGGCCGACCCCGCGGCGGCCGCCTCCCCGCCTCGCGCGGCTGCCGGCGGCCAGGGCCAGGCGGCGGCGGCCGAGGCGGAGCCCGCGAAGGAGGAGGACCCGGAGAAGACGAACCTGTACCCGCCGAGCAACACGCCGGGCGAGGGGCTGAGCCACGGCGGCGGCCTGCGGCCCAACGGGCAGACGAAGCCGCTGCCCGCGCTGAAGCTGGCGCTGGAGTACATCGTGCCGTGCATGAACAAGCACGGCATCTGTGTGGTGGACGACTTCCTGGGCAAGGAGACCGGGCAGCAGATCGGCGACGAGGTGCGCGCCCTGCACGACACCGGCAAGTTCACGGACGGCCAGCTGGTCAGCCAGAAGAGCGACTCGTCCAAGGACATCCGAGGCGATAAGATCACCTGGATCGAGGGCAAGGAGCCCGGCTGCGAAACCATCGGGCTGCTCATGAGCAGTATGGACGACCTGATCCGCCACTGTAACGGGAAGCTGGGCAACTACAAAATCAATGGCCGGACGAAAGTAAGTGAGTGCTAGGGGGTCGCGCTGGACATCCCTTACAGGGCGGGCCGCCCCCTGCCCGGCGACAGGAGCCGCTTAGGGCGAGGAGCATGGTTTCTCCTCTGTATGCAAGTGATTTGCTTCTTGTGTAGCACCCCATCAGGAGAACGGCTCTAATCCGTACATAGGTGTTTATCTAGGTAGCCCCTTTCTCTGTGCGCACCATTTCCCACCTACTGCCCGTTTACAAACGTCTCTTATGGCACGGTTTTGTGGCTAAACTTAGGCCCTCCCTTTCACTTTGCTATTTTTTGCTATTTTTCCTTTTCCAGTGCGCTGTCAGTTCAAACCTTATTGGAGCTTTAGCCTCCCGATTGGGGCGTATTAGAGTAGTACCCCAAGCAAGTGCTGGTTCTGCATCTGTCTTGTGTTTGCATATACCTCTAAATTCTCTCTGTGGTGTTGGAGCCACTCATCGGATTCTGGTTTACAGAGTGGAGTGCTGTGTTTGGTTTAAGAATCTGCCAGCCTGACCGCCAAAAGGTAATTTTAAAATCAGTACCTCGTCGGAAGACTCCTCGCATTCAGGAAGAGCTTGGCCACTCCCCTCCTTCTGCTGTCGCTCCTGTCCCCCTCCCTGTCCCTACTGTTTTGAACCCCCCTCCCCGCCCAAAACGGGGAAAGAAGTATTTCCGTTTTTAGATCTTGCTGTGTAGGTAGGTTACATTTTTAGCATAGGTTTCCTTTATTTGCTTTGTTAATATAATTCTCTTGAAACAGAACTGTGTTGTAGCTTCCTGGGGAAAAAAAACAAAAACCCACGGAATTGGAGCAGGAGGGAGGGCTCATTCTGAAGTCTCAATTTGGTGGAATCTCTTTGTTTTCTCTTTACTGTTGTAGTTTTCCCCCCACAGATTGTTCTGCTCGTACCTAGTCTAATCCCTCTTCCCTCCTCTGCATGGTAAACCGGTGACTCTTCCCTCCTTAATACTCTCTCGCAGTTCTTTCTCATTTTGCTTCCCCGGTCTTAACCTTTTCTTTGTATCCAGCTCCTCCCCAGGCTGCCCTGCTCCACCCTCCTCCACCATCAATCTCTGTCTGATACTTTGAGTTTTAAGAGCTTGTCTTAGGAGATCATCACGTGTGTGTTTGTGCACACACACTGAGTCTTCCCACTAGTTCTTTTGTGTGTTGTCAGGGCATCTATTTTGGCAATCATCACGGGTGACTCTCAGGCCGCCTGAAGGCTGAGCATAAGGCAATGAGGAAAGTTCTAAGCATGAAAATTTTGTGGGGAAAAATACAACATGAAGTCTAATTTATATATTGCCGTCTCATTACTGGATGAAGGCCCGTGTCATAATATCATGTAGTTTCAAAAAATGAACAGTCGCTTAATATGAAGCTAGAAGAAAAAAAAAGGGAGCCTGATTAGACCTCAATCTCAGTTTTCAATAAGAATTTCATTTATATATAAAAAAAGAACAACACCAAAACTTTGTCACGGATCGAATCTTAATGTAGTCATGAACTCCAGAGCAGGAAGATAAGATAAAATGGGTTGAGACTAATAAGAAGCAGATTATTCCACATCAACATAGCTCTATGCAGACTGACCAGTCAGTCATTAGTTGAGGTATAAACTTAAAGGCGAAGTCATGAAGAAGTTAATGTCCTAAATCTTCCTTGAAATGCTTTCCTTAGTTAATTTAGCTTTCCAAGTTAAGTCCTCTCCTGTCCCCCCGTTTTCATCTGTCCTCAGGGAAGGGACAGTAGTCAGCCTAGCTCTTAGAGCAGTTGCTTCTCAAGGGGAGGTTGTTAGAAAATAGCCACCTCTTCATCAGGCATCCCAGTGGCTGAAGGGAACAGTAGTCGAGGTTGTAAATCACTTTAGCGCACATATTTTATTTAGGGGTTTTTTTTTTTTAGATTTATTTATTTGAGAGAGAGAAAGAGAGTTTGGCACGCACCAGGTGGGGAGGGGCAAAGAGGGGGAGAGAATGTGAAGCAGACTCCCTGCTAAGTGCCGAGCCTGACGAAGGGCTCAAGCCCATGACCCTGAGATCATGACCTGAGCCAAAACCAGGAGTCGGATGCTTAACTGACTGAGCCACCCGGGCACTCCGGAAAGGACAGATTTTAAATTCTTTAGATTGATCTTATGCTTACATTCATTTTCAGCGCACAATTTGAGAATCTGTGAATGATTTTAGGGAATCCCTTTCGTTGTATTTGGTTGAGAGAGTTTTTGTTAATTGTGTTTAACCATGTAATTTTAGTATTCCTTAAAAAACCAAAGGTCTTGCTTTGGGGGAATGGGAAAGCAGTCGGATTATTAGCGACCATATATTGAGCAAGCACAGTGGGGTAGGCACCAGAGTAGGCCCAATACAGACATGATCACAATAATCTTAATCCTATGAAGTGTAGGTAGTAGTACTCCTAATTTACATTTAAGGAAATATCAGGTCAGACTTGGCTAAGGACTGCCGCATATGCCAACCTTGATGGGATTCAAATTTAGATCATTGAGATATCAAGCCCCAGGCTTTTTCTACTATACTGCATATAGGTAGGATATTAGATGAGCTGTAGATTACTTAGCATACTGCTGGGACTAAAACTTGATACAGCTATAGCATTAGGCTTGTATGTGAATAACTGTACTTGATGGTTGGCCTCTGTAAACTTTTTAGTAGATGACTACACAGTGTTTATTTCAGTATCTGAAAAGCCACTTTATAATTACCCATTTGAATCACGTTCATTTCTCTAAAACTTTTAAGAGAGGCAGAATATAGGTACTATACTATATGGGATTGAAGAGACGGTCTTCAGTTAAGAATTTTGTTATTGTTTACAACACTATAGTAATTTAAAAAGTTACTTGCCACAAATGTGTAGTGTTTTTCTCACTTAGATTTTCACAGCAACACTGTAAAATAGGTAGATTGTTGATCTGTTTTTCCTGGTCATAGTTTAGAAAGGTGAGCCTCAGGAAATCATGCACTTGTGGGAAATCATGCAGCATTCCAGGACTTAAATTGAAGTTTTCTGACCAAGATTCAAATGTCCTTTTTTATTTATATTATCTATTCTGAATGGTCTTTGTGCGTATGAGGGCCTCATAATCAGATGATGTATAATTGGCTGTGGCTCATTCAGTGTTAGGCTTTGATTTCCCCCAAGTTTTTACTTCAGACATGCTTATCTGGCCCACTGTTTGTCCAGCTCCTTTAAAAGAGGAACTGCAGGGGAAGGATGAAGTAATGCACGCGGACGCTGATGGAACTGAGCTTCAGTTTCCACTTTCTCTGGTCCCTTTTTCAGGATTTTCCCCTCTTTTGCCCTTAAACTGACCTTTGATCCTTTTTCCTTTCTCACACCCTTCCTTCAGCCAGCACTGGTGTTCAGTAGGAAGAAATCATGGTCTGCTGATTTGTGAACAGTGGTGTCGTGTGGGCCCTAAGAGATCATAGGTGGCTTTACTTGGGGAGAGAAGAAAAGGAATGCAGATGAGCGGGGATCATGGGAAAATGCTGAACTATTCAGTTGGAGTTTCTCAGCTACTCTGAAGGAAACGATTTGCCTGTTAGAATAGAAATACCAGAACCATATACATATTTTTGGAATTCATCCAAAATTTAACTCTATTCAGTTAAAATGAACATAAAGAAAAGGAGTGATAAAATGGGTTGAGACTAATAAGAAGCAGATTATATTCCTAAGATTTTTCATTAGTGTCACTGTTAGTCAGCTCTGGCTGATGATGGCTTTCAGAGCAGAGAATAGGATGAGGAAAATCCTGTTGGCTTTATTATCACTACTGAAGAGAAGTGGAGACAGTCCTTTTAGATGTTACAAACAAAACTTCCTTCTCAGTCCACTTCTGCCACTTTCTCTGTACTCTCGGCATCCACCATGTACAAAGGGGAGCAGCCTGTTTAATGTTTTAATAGCTCTATCAGTCTTAAAGATCAAAGTCCATCATTCCGTATGTGAAAAGGTCGAAAACATGCAAGTGCGGTAATAACAGTTTCTCATAGTGCTTTACGGTTCAAAAGAGATATGTGCGGACTGAAAAAGCAGTCTTCCCCGTAGGTTGTGACTGAACCAAGTTCAACTTCGTAGGAAAACATTTTGTATAGTGGATTAGTTTACATGTAGTTCACATACAAGGTAACTCCTTTAACTATTAAAGAATTTTATTTTAAATTAAAAGGGTTTGTGTGTTTTGGATGTTTATAACTCTTCACCCATCTGTTACCTAGTAAGCCGCAAAAATACCCCGCAAGACCTTAGTCACTCACGTGGGAGGACGGCATCTGAACGTAGAAGGATGGTGGACTCTGCTGCTGTCACATCTGGCTGGGATCCTGGATCTGCCACGGCTGCTGTGTCCTTGAGCCAATTGCTTAATATTTCTGAGCTTCAGTGACTCCATTTGTACAGTAGTTTTAAATCAGTCGCCTTTTCTGCCTCGTAGGCTTGCTGTGAGGAGTGCATATAATTATGCCTGTAAAAGCACTTTCTAAATTGTAAAGCCCAGTGTGAAACTGTTGTTAACTATTACTCTACTTTTTTTTTTCTTAAGGTTTTATTTATTTGACAGAGAGGCAGCAAGAGAGGGAGCACAAGCAGGGGGAGCGGGAGAGGGAGAAGCAGACTCCCTACTGAGCAGGGAGCCCAATGCGGGGCTCGATTCCAGGACCCTGAGATCATAACCTGAGCCGAAGACAGACACTTAACGACTGAGCCACCCAGGTGCCCCAACTATTACTCTACTTATCTTAAAATTTTCCTATTTTTCTGAATCCTTCTGTAAGAGTTAGTGCTTTTCCTGTCTTTTCCCCCTTATAAGCTAGAGGGAAAAGAGACTGAGAATGATCACCCATTTTTGACCTGACCACTCCCCTCCCCAACACATACATTTCTTTTTAAACAGAGAGAATAAGTCCCAGAGAGGTTAAATGACTCGTTCAAGGTCTTGGAGTTCCTTACTGACAAAACTGATGCAACTT